AGCTGTCGATACACACACGCGTTTAGGAGTCGGGACACGACGGAATTCTCACTTGCACAATCGGGCTAGCATTGCATCGTGACCTATGATCGTTACTAACATTTATCATTCATTTGCTCAAGCAATGTTAAACCATCATGCTCGCGCACTCTCAGAGATTTCTTTCACTGCGTGCACAGCCTAAATCCGCCTCACAAACAGCTCGCCAGAAACAAAAGTTTTATCCCTGGATTATATCGCTTTAACAGTTAAAACATGCAACATTATGTCAAAACTCTGGTCTTGGTGAGTAACCTCGTAAAGACAGTCGGTAATGTCTTAAATTAGCATTAAACGCGTGTGACAGAAAGTTAATGAAACAGTAATGGATTCGCACACTAGTTCTTAAAGTGAACGCAGCCATTTGTGTCAGTCATTAATTCTGTTGTCATAACAACAGAATATAGTATTAATTGTAAGCAATCAGAATTAATAGCCTTTGTATTTAATTCAGTCTGGACTAAAAAGACTATCCAGTGTTATTTTACATTGGATTACTTTATTCAGTTTCTGTAGTATATCTGACATACCCAAAAAACTACCCCAAAATGTCTCTTAATTTTTGTCTTTATTCTATTGTATTTATTTGTGCTACTTTTTTCAATTTAATTCAAAGATTGAAATCAAGCATCCATACATAAACTCTTAACAAAAAAAATACATTAACATTTAGGTAAGATCAATGTAAAAAATGTCTAAATATTTATATATTTATCTATCTTTAACATAAAATAACATGATACTGTTTGATCAAGCTGTGCGACTGTTCTGTGCGACTCTTTTTTGCATATTGCATCAAAATCTTTGTATGCATTTAGTGTACCTAAAATAAAAAGTGTTTTATATATAGGTTTATGGCTCTTAATTTTCTTGTATTAATTAACCACTAGTAAACTTATGTCCACTGTTCTTTTTTATAAATTATAAATATAGGATTTTTATTACATCTTCATTATAGTTGAATCGAGAATCAAATCAGGAATCGAGAATCGAAAATCGAATCGAGAATCGAAATCGAATCGAACTGAGAGCTTGCGAATCGAAATCGAATCGAAATTGAAATGTGAATCGATACCCAGCCCTAGTGCTTTGTCATCTACTGCTGCTATGCAACACAATAGGAATACGACCGGTTTAAGATGGCGGCCGCATTTCTCAGTGCTCAGTGGACAATAGGGCATCTAGTCTCTATATGATATCTATGGAGACAATTATCACAACCAGCTATGTGCGTCTGAGCAATGAGCGATCTCGACTCGTTACCTAGCAGCGAATGCAAACAAAATGAAAGTGGAACGAAAATACGCTACTCATATTTGCTTCACGGACTGCTTATTAGTTTGGACCAATATTAGACAGAGCAGCGCATTGCCTTTCTTATGTACATCTATGGAGCAGCTCCCCGAACCAAATAAAGTAAAATAAAGCCCCCGAACTTGCCAGTCGCGGGCCGATCTCGATCACGCGACACTGTTACTAGGAGATCCAGTGAAGAACTCCATTGAATTCGCCTCAGAATTAATAACATCATCCATCTAACTGTATATCCAGTGAGAAACATCCCGATTCGGCGGTTCTGTTATAATTATTCGGTTAGTTCTGTTATAAACCATAGATATCAGATCAAACAGCACTGATGTGGAAACCAGGAGAAAAACTAGAAGGCTTTCAGTCCACAAATCAGCAACCTTCACCATGGATTAAGGCTAATGTTGACTTAAAGTGTTAGTTCACCCAAAAATGAAAATTCTGTCAGTATTTACTCACCCTCATGTTGTTCCAAACCTCTATGTGTTTATTTGTTCTGCTTTACACAAAGGAAGATATTTGGAAGAATGTTTTAATCAAACAGATCTCATTCCCCATTGACTAGTAGTCAACAACATGAGGGTGAGTAAATACTGACAGAATTTTCATTTTTGGGTGAACTAACCCTTAACTCTAACCATAAATATGATAATGTGACACAAATAGTCAAATGCTTACAAGCAGCCTACTACACAGCTTTTTCCAGCACTTCAAAACTATAATCATATATAAATGTTTTATTTTTGGTATTTTTTATGTGATGACCAACATATTTTTTGTTCATCCTTCAAAGATTGCCCTAAAACGAAAAATTTTAAGATGTTGTAAAACTCTTATTTAAACCCATACAAAACATTGAAAACATTAGGATGTTTATTGGCTATTTTCACTCATTAATATACATGTTTTCATTACTTTTTTTTAATTAACATTAAGACATTTTAAATGATAATAACTAAAATTAATTTAAGCTTCAGTTCACCCTAAATGAAGCTTAGTGTTTTATTGTCAGCCCCAGTGCTACCAGATTATTATTATTATTTTGTAGAACTCAGTGCAAGTTCGCATTTGAGGTGGTGCTGCCCTCAAATTTGAGTCTGGAGCCCTGTGAACCTAAAATAAAACAGCATATCGTAATGTTTAGTCTATTTATTATTAAAGAATTTGTCAGTATTACAGTTATTTTGGGGGTACGTCGAATAATTGCATTGCAAGCTGATTTGAGGTGTGCCCCTAAATTTTCTGCTTGCGCTCCTAAAATTTTCAGTCAGGGGCAACAGCACTCCTTGTAAAAAAAAGTTAGTCTGAAGCCCTGATGTTTCAACAGTGAGATAACAATGATGCTTCATGAGCTCTTTGTGGCCCATGGCTCTTATAGCAGAATGCAAGCAGAAGAATCAGAAAAAAAAATCTTACAAGGGTTTATTTTGAGTTAACTTTCGAGTCACTTCAGGTGAAAACAATTATGTATGTTTTTGGTTATTATGTTATGTTCACATCAGCATGAATAGTTAATTTTGAACACAGCCACATACCCAATTATAAAAGGGTGTGCATACTTATGCATCTTGGTTATTTTATCTTTTTTCTCTGAAATGCATCACTGCATAGGTTATTACATTGAAGGTGCAAAAGTTCTGATATGATTTATCTTTGTTTCATGTTTTACATATAACTGGGATTTGTAATGGCTTCCTGGAATACTTAAAGGGTTCATCCGATAATGAAAATTGTAAATAATTACTTACCCTCATGTTGTTCCAACTCCGTAAATCTTGCGTTCATCATCGGAACACAAATTAAGATTATTTTGTTGAAATCTGAGAGCTAAGTCTGACAAGTCATCCTCACTTTTAATAGCCCTTTTTAACAATGTAGATTGTTTCAAAGCAGCTTTACAGAGATAAACATATTATAATTTAAGGTATCAGATTGCTCACTTATTCATAGGCTGATAGGCATCTGCCAGCCTAGAAAAGTAAAAAAAAAAGAACTATCAGTGACTACTTTGGCTCAACCTTAAGTTTATCAAGCGACGAGAATACTTTTTGTGCGCAAAAAAAAAAAAAAAAAACCCTATAATAACCAGACTGATCTCATGAAATGGCGGATGCATGACAAGCCAATTCGTATTTCTAATTTTGGAGTGCTATCAACATGCATAAACACTTTTCAGCGTGTTTATGAACGCCGTTGACTTAACTTTACATTACTGTATATATAAATATATGACCTACCCCAACCCCGTCCCTAAACCTACCCGTCACTGGGGTAACTTAATACCATTTATGAGTCTTCCCCTACCATTCTAGGAAAAAAAAAATATAGCTCCCCAGATGTAGATCTACATTTTGCTTTGTTTCATTTGGACATTTAACGGCGTGTACATACACACAGAATCACTCGGACATGATGGCGTAGACATACACACGGATAGCTCAAAATGAGTATAGATAACACACCACTTGACTTTAAAGTGGCGTGTATGTTTATGCAAAAGTCATGATGTCATGTTGAAATAACGACTTTATTCAACTATTCGTTTTCTTTTGTGTGCCTCTGTTGTGAGTTCACGAGAGCAACGCATGTGCGAGGACTGAGATGACGCTCACGATCATTTAATGGGAAAGTGTGAAAGGCGAGCCATTTATTTTGCGGCATTGGTAAGGCACTTTTACGTTTTCTCATTGGTCTCTCATGATTCGGACATCTAGGAAATGCACACTTTAGAACCATTTTAAACACAACATCGAGACCCATCTGCGTCGTCTTCTCAGTTCTCGCGCATGAGCCGTGTTGCTCTCGTGAACTCACTTAGAGGCCCACAAAGAAGAAAATGAATAGTTGAATAAAGTTTTTATTTTAGGGTTTTTTTTTTGTCTGCACAAAAAGTATTCTCGTCACTTCATAAACTTACAGTTGAGCCACTGTAGTCACTCTAACTATTTTAACGATGTCTTTAATAACTTTCCTGGGCCGGCAGATGCAATTACCTAGCAGTCTATGGAGAAGTGAGAGAGACAGATCTCTGATTTCATCAAAAATATCCTAATTTGTGATCCGAAGAGGAACGAAAGTCTTACGGGGTTGGAACAACATGAGGGTGAGTAATCATTACTGAAAGAATTTACATTTTTTGGTGAACAAGGCCTTAAGTTATTTTGGGCGAATCATGGAATGAAACTAGGGCTGCACGATTTGGGGAAACAAATTAGTTATGACTTCTCTGGTTATTGTGATATACTTTTTTTTCTTTTCTTTTTTTACATGACAGCCATAAATTCAACTGTCAAATATTTTGGTTGCACTTTATTTTAGAGTATGTGTATTTACAGTGCACTTGCTTAAGAAAGCACTGGTTAATATAACATGACTACATGGGTTAAGGTTAGGTTTAGGGGTAGGTTCAGAGTAGTTATTACCCAGTTATTGCAATTACTGTAACTTGGACATAGTATGTACATGGGGAACAGGGCTATAAAATGAAGTGCTACTAATATTTCACAAGACAAACCTTAATTAACTAGAATACTGTTATAATATGTTGTCTTTCCACAGTCTCCACAAGTAACTAATAAAATGGTTATTATATTATCAAACTCAAATACAGTTTCTCCATCTCCCCTCTGTCTTTTTGTCTTTGTTCCCCAAAGGTAGCAGAAGTCTTTTAGGTTGTGGGCACGTGTTGACCCCTGTCGAGGCCTTTCGCATCAAAAGCAACGCAGCCCTGCGATTTAACCAAGCACACGCTCAGCTACATGGCCGCGTCCAACAGGTCTTTGGCAGTTTGAAAAGCCGTTTCCAGTGCCTGCGTGACATCGGCCCCATTCAGTCACCCGAGTCAGTGGCATGCACCATCAAAGCCTGCTGCGTCCTGCACAACATCTGCAAGAAGTTCTCTGTCCCGTTACCCTTGGATTTTAACCTAGAGCCGCTTCATCCACCATCGGAGGTGCTGAACATCTTGTCAGAGCAGCCGTTTGACTACATGGAAGACACTAAAGAGGAGATGATAGAAATGTTTTTTAATATTTCAGAAGATGGAAACAAATGAGATGTGTCCGGATGTGGGAAACGAACCATAATTATCATTATAGAAGCCAGAGATTGTTAGTTTAAACCATGTAATGAATGCTATAAATGAAATGAATACAGATAAACGCATGCTAAAATGCCAGTTGATTCTTCATATTCATAAGCTTTAATCAGTAAATCAATAATTGATAAGATAATGCTAGTACACTTATATTTGTTAACAAGTGATATGAATAAAAAGAAAATATTTGTGGAAGGCCATAAACCAAGCACGCTTAATGATACAAGTCCGTTACAAGAAAAAGTATTGCAGTTGTACTATAATAGACCTTATTCAGAGCAGCGCCATGACAGGTATGAATGTGAGGCTGTGAGGGATAGACTCACCGTGTATCCAATGGCATCCGCTGTAAAAAGCTAAATAAAGCTCATAGATTACTTACAGTTTTCCTAGATTACTTATAACTCACATTGTCGGGAGTTTTTTGTCAACTGAAATTTCTTGGAACAATCCGAAAACATATTAAATAACAGTACAGCCCATTGAAAAGATGCATGTCTGTCCCTCACAGCCTCGCTTATATTCTCATTAAAAATCAAAGATGGCGCTGCCGTGAATAAGGCATATTCAGTGAGGCTGTCAGTTGCTAATAGTATGGTACTTTGACATACAGCATAATACTAACTGATTACAATATTTAAATATACCAAAAATTGTAGAAACATGTCTAAAAAAGATGTTAATACCTGGTCATTTTTTCAATCACTTTTTGCAAGTTGCTTATGTCTGGAAACATCACATTGTGCCTGGATAGGACACGAAGTAAATCTGTTTTTCTTAGGGGTCGTTTACACTATTTTCAACAAAAAAAGGAAAGCTTTTTATGCGATTGGCCATTCATTTGCATGACAACACATTATCGAAAACATTATAATTTCTGTGGAACTACAAAAAAACAAATTTGTGCAAACGATGACGTCATTACGTGTTCAGTCTAGAGGTGTGTAGTGTTTCTTTACAAAGTGACATCACCAACTACTTGCTTTACGTGCATAAAACAGCTGTCGTCTGTATGCAAAACTTTTCAAAACAGCAAAGGAAAAACGTAGTTATCGTGTAAATGAAACTCCTATTCCATGACTTTTGTTTTGAATATATTTATAAATATATGATTCTTCATTAAGGCAGCTCAGTATTTGTACAATATTAACTGCAGATGAATAATGAAGTGCTTAAATTTCAGTTCTTAATAAAGTGACATGCAGTGCAAACAATAGGAACAATGTTCCTATCAAACAATCAACCCTTGTTCGCTCCATCACAATCTCTTCATCTCGTTTAAATAGGAATTAATGTGATCTGGAATTTTTTCGTGAAGGCAAGTGTTCTCCACATGCATATTTCGGCAACGGGTTCAAGTTCGTAACATGAATTTGCAGCGTTGATTAACATACATTTTATGCCTGATTTGAAAGTGATTGAAATTAAACTGAATTATTGGATGAAATTTCACTAATCTGACCGCTCCTTAACCCTAAAATCTGAAGAAAAAATATATATATTTTTGAGGAATACAAAAGTATTAAGAAATACTAAATGTTTGAATACTCTTTATGTGTCTGTTTCATACACCAATGGTTCACAGTAAGTAACCATGAAAAACAAACAAATCTTTCCTTCCCCTCCAGTTCTCAAATATCATTATCTATTTCACATCCAGATTTGAAAATTATATAAATCATGGGTGTCCAATCCTGTTTAGATCTACCTTCCTGCAAAATCAGCTCCAAATCTGATTAAACACACCTGGCCTGCGTCCAAAATCGTTTACCTTTTTGAGTAGGTACTAATTGTGAATTAGTAATTATTTCACAACTGTTAAAAAAAGCTTCTATACATTCTATATAGTATGAATGTAAAACGGACGCACTATATTCACCATGTTGTCATTATCACATGAAATATCTGGGTGAGTTGTGTCGCTTCACTGCCAATCACACATCTTCTCCCGTGGCCTCATGGGAGGGTAAAGTGTCCATTAAATGAAAATTAAAATTAAATTTCCCCAGTTGTAGTAGGTCTTCTGGTACTTTTTGTCTATTTTATGAGTACTGTGAATTTGGATATGCATATTTACTTAATCCCATACTGTTTATCACTTATTAAACAGCTGGGGAGTGTGTGATTTCAGATGCAGCCATAATCTTCAGGAACTTGATAATGACATAGAGGTTTAAAATACTGGTAGGAATAGGGTTGAGCAATCCTGATGTAAATAATGACACTATTTTGTCATTAGACAAACTATTCTTTTAAATATTGTTAAGTGAGAGACAGATGAGAATACGTCACTGGCATAATACAAAAATAAAGTGGAAAAATACTTTTAATTGATCATGGTTTTTTAGCATTTATAATTGTTGGCCATTGTTTTTAGCATTCATTTAAAACACATCAAATTCAACTTATATTAAATAGACCCTCTTGTATTTAAATTTTAACATAACACATTTCTCGTTGTTTAAAAGTGATGTGCAAAATAAGCAGCATTAAGTACAGCTCAAGCTTTAAAAACATTAAAAAACACAAATTAAATATACACAGCTATTTAGATAAATAAAGTCTGGCAGTTAACTCTTAGTGCTTTAGCTGAGGCTCAAAATACCAGTATCTTTCAGTCCTGTTAGCAGTTTGTTATTAGTATTAACATTATTACTGTTTTAAATAAAATAGTTCTAATAACAAATGCACATAACATATGCTGTGAAATATTTCATTCAAATTGTTGGAAGTCATGCTCAAAAAATATACCAATGTGGCTCCAAGGTTGTACGTTATTATTATGAGAACATGGTTATGCTAACCACACATGAATTATGTTACATTTTGAGATGTTTTTTCTATTTTTGTTCATATGTTACTTCCATTTTCATACTGTTTTAACGCTATTGAGTTGACGTAGATCATGTCTGTGTTTTCATAGAGAGGCTCTGACTGAGCCACGACTTTGGTTTTCAGAGAATCCATGATGCACTGGTGCAGGAACACGTACTGAGACTGTAAGAGACAGAGAGGAGAAGCATAAGACACTTGAAGAGGGTGAAAGGTGTCAGCCATACAGGGATACACATCTCACAGTCTTAATTTCCAAGTGATAATAGTATTGTCCTTATACCAAAATTTTTAAATGGCCTTCAAATCTCAATAAAAAGAAGCACGCCATTTGTAAATAAATGCCTGGTTTCACAGACAATGCTTAGATTAAGCAAGTATTAGTTCACTCTAAAAATGCTGGGTTGTTTTAACCCAACTTTGGGTCAAATATGGACAAACCCAAACGTTGGGTTAAAAATGTAATTTAAAAAAAAAAAATGCAACCCTATGGCTGGGTTTGTCCATATTTTACCCAAAGTTGGGTTAAAACAACCCAGCATTTTTAGAGTGTAATTAGGACAATTAAATTAGGGCTGTAGGAAAAAAATTAACATTTCTGGTGTGATTCTTGAGACAAAACAATGGCAATTATATATTTTAACATACAATATTACTTTCAGCCCAACAGCCCAAACAAGCATTTTAGTCTGGGACTATAGGCTTAAGCCTTGTCTGTGAAACTGGGCAATTTACCATATTATTATATTTTGCTATGAATTCTAGGAGCTTCTGTAAAGTTGTAAACTTAAGAGGTACTTCAACACTGGCAAAATGGCCTTTCAATAAATCGTGTCTGCCTTTGTAGAAAACAGGTGTTATTTTGTTGTCTTTTTCTAGAAATCATTGCTATCTGATTAGTAATGCTACCTTCGTTTTGCCAAATAGGTAGGACAACTTCAACACCCATAATGCATTTGTTGTCATCCAAGGCCGCTCCCACCTACCAGTCTGTTTTATGCTTAGCATGCTTATAGTGTCAAATACCCCCTTGCTTTAGAAGGAAATACTTCTTAGCAAATGCAAACTTTTAATCATAATGGTGTCGACTTGTATCGTTCCCGGGTGAAGGAATTTAAAGACGTTTAGCAAGACTCGGAGGGAGTTATTTTCGGATCCAGCAGGAAACATGGAGAGAATGCAGTGACAGAAAATCAGAAAGACCTCTGTATTTGTACGTAACATTTTGGATGACTACGAACACAACATTTGTATGCCGAATTACGCTTACAGGTAAGAAAGCAGTTTCCGCAATGTTTAAATTTTTAACTCTTATGTGTTAAAACCCTATATTAATCCTACACTATCTCACAACCAATTCGTACGAGTGATTAAAAAGTGGCTAATTCGTACTAATTCATACGACCTCACTTGTAGAAATTCGTACGATTTGTCCAAACCCACGTGATGGGTAGGTTTAGGGGCGGGGTCAGGGGTAGGTCATTCGTACGAATTCATACGAATTGGCCAATTCGTAAAACATGTACGATTTAGTAAAAACATACTAATTCGTACAAGTGAGGTCGTACGAATTATTATGAATTAGCCACCTTGTAAAATTCGTACGAATTCTCGTGAGATCGGGTTGATTAATACCCGTCTACCCGTGGGCAGGGATATGAAAATGTAGTTGAATCTAGTTTTAACAAAGCCCTGACGGACTTTAGCTGACAAATATACGTGAATTTCTCAGTCCAGGTAACACAGAGAATGAGTAAGCATTGTGCATTTACACACCAACATTGTGACCATATACAAAGCGAGTTGTAAATTCACAAAGTTACACTTTGATTTTAGCGTTTTACCTGCTGTCTTGACCTATTTTTTGTCTATATTTTTCATATAAGCATAGTTTTTAATTTCTTTTATTGCTATTTAAATAGCAACTGTGTTTTCATTTCATGTTGCTTAATGCTTAGTTATTGAATATTGTGTTATACAGCTGCTGAACTTTACTCATTGGCATGAGTGCTGGAAATGCCACTTTTGATTAATTAAAAAACAAAAAGCCAAAATGTTATATCCCAAAGCACACTAAATATTAGTATATTAACCTTTTAAAAAGTTTAAGTAGCTAGTTAAGTTGTTTAAATAATTGTAGCATTATTTCATGGTATACAGTTAAAAAAAATCAGCTACAATCACCCAAATTTGAATTTATTCTTTAAGGTAAAATTCTGGTGTCCACAGCTGCCATTTATTGACAATTGTTAAGTCTCTATAAATTGCCTTTTCTAAAGATTTGCTTTACAGGTCTTTGAATCCCCCAGAAAAAAAAGTAAGCCATAACTCGAATAAATTCCTCATAATAATCACCACAACAATAATAAAAATAACATCCAGCCCCAATTCAATGCCAGATTGCCAATAAACCCCTCCTAGCGCAATACATTTAACCATCATGGATTGAAACAGTGTTACCTCAGTTTGCACCATAAGTGGCCGGCAGAGTCTCATTTCCTGGACGAAAGCTGCAATGCCCACTGCCTTTTCTCTGTGCAGCTGCTGCAGAAGAACGTCCAGGGCAATCAGCGTACCTGTCCGGCCCACTCCAGCACTAGAGGGAGACGTGGACAATAAACCTTTGCTTTAATTAAGCGGTTTGTTTAATAATGCTGTCAGCTCTATGAATCAATGTGACTCATTATTGGTGTCAAGTTAAAGGGTTAATTCACCCAAAAAATGCAATTACCTACTGTAGCAACCTTCGAATGAGTAAGCCAGCTCTCAAATTGCATTACAATATCTTAATTTGTGTTCAGAAGTTAAATGAAAGTCTTACGGGGTTGAGAAATTACTGACAGAATTTTCAATTTTTGGGTGAACTAACCCTTTAATGTTGGAGATGGGGTTTAAAGTAAGTAGTGGTCACCTGCAGTGTACGACTGTTGGCCCTGCAGAATAGGAATTCTCTATGTGCTGACGGACAAGTCCTCTGAACTTGATCAGCTCCTCTGTGCCATAGGGAACGCCATGATCTGGCCACGCTGTGAAGTGGAAATGCTTCACTGTTCGTGTCTCAGAGGTGCTTTTCTATTATGTACCAACAAAAGAAAAAAAAATAAATGGACAGAAATAGATTGTCTTAAGGTAACCTGACGTCACGAGGTGAATGTGATTTTACCAAGTACAACGTGTTCCTTGATCAACATCTTTGCTGATCCTGGAACAACATTTCAATCAGCCAATCAGATGTCAAGTTTAGGCTTACAACCAGGGTTAGGTGCTTTCATCCATCATTTACCTCTGATTTTAGGGATAAGTTATAGTTAAGGATAGGGTTAGGACTAAGTGTTCGGACAGGAATGTTGTTCTAGGATCAACAACAAACTAAAAAAATGATCCAGGAACATGTGTGTCTTGGCAAAATAAGTGACCCATCGCGAGGAATCTGTTTTTTTCTTTTTCTTTTGAAATAAAATAGTTAAATATTTTTAAAAAAATAATTTAAATAATAACCTTTCCTCACAAATCACAATTTTAAAGTAAGCTGCAAAAGAACTTGTGAAACCTTGACAAGTTTGTGAAATCGCATAAATCCACATTTACACATCAATTATGCATATTTTGTAAACAGAAACTTGTCCTACCCAGCCACATTGAGTAAACATGAGAAAGCAGAATACTATTATTATTCTTAAACACCAGATGAACTAACAATAAGACTTGGTAACACTTTAGAATAAGGTTCCTCTGTTAATGAATAACAAATCAATAACTAATGCAGGACAAATGAATAGCACTACATTAACATTTGATCTGCGACTGTAAACAAATACACAAGGTCGCTTACATTATCAATATGTAATAGCATAGCAGACTTATGATTTGGGAAAGCTGTCAATAATTAGCCTACTGTCTCCTAGAGAATTATTTACCAACTGAATAATTTTAAAGAAATGGATTTTTAAATTTGTCCGAACCTTACTTGTCCTGTGGCTAATTTTCCGGCATTCCTTTGGCATTGAATCACTAGACTAGAGTCATGGTGACTACTGGGACATATTGAGTCATCAGCGATAACATATACAGTTATTGTATTAATTAACCTACCTCTCAAAAAATATGCTTTTATGTATGTCTTCTAGCTCATATACGTGTGTGTGTGTGCATGAATTATGAAACTTTCTCTGGGAAACATTAAAAAAAATAGTACTTATTGATAAGTTAATAGTGAACTATTACTTGTTAATCAGAGTTTCTTGTTAGTTAATAGTAGTTACTAGATTGTTATTATTGTGTTACTCATTTTTTCCTTTGTAGTTATTCATTAAAGAAGGAACCTTATACTAGAGGGCTGTTGAATGCTTGATTCTGATTGGTTGAGAACGTTCTAAGGGTGTGCAATTATTTTCAGGGAAACGCACGGCTAAAGTAGTTTCAGGCAGGTTTGACCGCATTACAGTTCCATATCACTGCGCATAGTTAACTGTATAACGGAAAATAGGATACAATTCATAACAAGAAAAAACATGCAGCCACATGCGCTTGATCTGCAATTTTCCATGTCTAACTTCACAATCAATGTACGCATACAATTTAATTTTAATTAATAAAGTATGTGGTCCTAGCTATAATAGGCTAAATAGAAAATTAAACTGAATAGACTATATAAATAAATTGATAGTCCTGCTGCACGGATTTTCTTAATTATTCCAGATAATATAACAAATAAATAATTATTGATAGGCCTACTTGTTTTGTGTGGGCTTTGTGTGTTTAAATGTATTGGGTTATCTACTGTCAATTATAGAAAACAAGAATGAACGAATGAATTAAAACAAATTTAATTAATAAATAAATAACAATATTCAAAGACTCACATGCTTTTCTGTCTCATTATTTCAACATCTCTCTCTCTCTCTCTCTCTCTCTCTCTCTCTCTCTCTCTCTCTTCCTCTCTCCACTCCGCTTCGCGTCGTGACCGCATTACCACCTCGGGTGTGCATTATTTTTCAAATAATTCAACGGCCTGTCATCAATTATTCCTTACATATGTACAGCGTTTTGAGGACCCAGAAAAGCGCTAAATGTAACAAATTATTATTATTTATTGTCACAAAAAAAGAGCGATAGAAATATCTCACATTTTTTATATTAAGTTCTCGCAGAGTCCAACTTTGAGCTTTATCCTCTGATTTCACAGTCACAACCAGGTTTCCATAGAGACAAGGCGAGTAGTCCAGTGGCCAGTACTGCTCACACTTGACCTACAGGAGTTCAATCAGACAAAAAAATAATAATAATAACTGCACCAAGTGCAGATGCCAAATCTGCTGTGTTGAAAACTATAAAAAAAAGTTTTGATCCAGACCCTTGTGTGAAACACTGTATTGTTACACAGAATTGGGTAAAATGCTAAACAAACATTGCATTAAACATGAGCCAACAAGAATGTAGCATAATACTGTTCACTATATGATGTACAGTTTCATATACTGTTTAAAAATGTTATACAGAAAGCAGTATTCTGAACAGAACCTTACCCTTCCACTCTCAGTGCAGTTGGTTACCATGACAATGGCCTGTGACCTTTTCTCCCACACCATTCTCCAGAAGTCATTGACGGTGGATGGCAGAGGACCTTGAGCAGCGATGTACTGTTTGCTTGCATTACCGTATCCCTGATATACACATACACATCATAAAGAAAACTCAGTCCACCAGGGGCATTTTACAGCTAATGTTAACTATTATATACACTCACCTAAAGGATTATTAGGAACACCATACTAATACTGTGTTTGACCCCCTTTCGCCTTCAGACCTGCCTTAATTCTACGTGGCATTGATTCAACAAGGTGCTGAAAGCATTCTTTAGAAATGTTGGCCCATATTGATAGGATTGGATAGCATCTTGCAGTTGATGGAGATTTGTGGGATGCACATCCAGGGCACGAAGCTCCCGTTCCAGCACATCCCAAAGATGCTCTATTGGGTTGAGATCTGGTGGCTGTGGGGGCCATTATAGTACAGTGAACTCATTGTCATGTTGAAGAAACCAATTTGAAATGATTTGTGCTGTTTGTGCTAAAGACCAGCAGCGAATGTATTTTCTTTGTAGATTGAGGAATTTTAACATTGACCCCACTTTGATGAAAATGTTTTATTCTTGTTTTCTTGAGTCTGTTTTAATCTTTTGTTTTATCTGTTGGTTTGGTTCCTTGTCTGCAAAGAACAAAAAACGACTAGAGAGCATTGTTAGAACATGTAGCAAGATTGCAGGTATTAACTTTCCTCCCCTCTCCCACATCTACTCCAACAAAGTAGCCAAGAAGGCTACAGTAGCTATTGCAGCTGACCACAGCCATCCTTTGTCCTGCCAGTTTAAGCTACTCCCCTCAGGTCGTAGGTACTCCATGCCCAAATGCAGGTCAAATAGATATAGAAACTCTTTTATCCCAACTTCGATCTTAATATTAAATAAATTAACAGAACTGTTTTAATGTACTTCTATTTAATTTATTTATTTTTCTATGTATTTTTAGGGACTATGTGTGTTTTATACCTTGTGGTAATGTTGTATGTTGTGCCTTGTGTTTTTTCTGCTGGCTGTACAAATAATTGCCCTCCGGGGACAATAAAGTAACCTTGACCTTGAGCTTTGTGACATGGTGCATTATCCTGCTAGAAGTAGCCATCAGAGGATGGGTACATAGTGGCCATAAAGGGGTGGACAAGGTCAGAAACAATGCTCAGGTAGGCCGTGGCATTTAAACAATGCCCAATTGGCACTCAGGCAGAGGCGTAGCAAGCTTATGAAAAGTGTGGGGGATGGATGTGTCATTTAAATTTAGGCATGTTACGTAGACCCCTGTCCCTCTAGGGGGGTTCGGGGGCATGGTCCCCCGCAAGAAAATTTGGTACATTTTAAGGTTAAATGCATCAATTTGGAGCACATTGAGAGCTCAAAATTAAGAGCTTCAACTGGATTCGACCCAGGCCTGTGCACATTGAACAACGAAAAAGCATTGACTTGTTGCTTACCTAAAGAGGGCTCAAACATCTTTATAGTTATGATATAGAGTCTGTCATTATATTATATATTACGCTATAAAAATTACAATACTTTTGTCCTAATTTCTTCACTTGTAAGAAATAAACCCTTGAGCTTTTATTTAGGAGAAAACACAGAACACCATGCTGATCGTGTGAGCAAAGAGCGCATTTTTTTTTTTTTTTTTTTTTTTTCAAATCACGCAGCGTTACAAACAGAATGCCTAATGCTACGTTCACACCGGACGCGAATCGCGCGTCAAATTCGCGCCTGACGCGTCTAGTTTGACGCTTGACCACTAGTATTAATTCTCGTGTCAAGAGCGAAACTGGCGCGCGTAAAAAAGTTTGAAGCGAAATTTACGCGCGTCAGAATCAAAATCCGTTGGCGGCCATTGTTTTTATGTCAACCGCGAGCATTCATCAAGAGAGTTACCGCTCTGTATTTACTCTGGTGAGCAGAACAGCGGCGTGGGGATCATCGTCGCCGTATATTTGTGTCCACCGGACCCTTCGGAGCCGAACCGTTTGACGAGTTTCACCATTTGCTCGCTCCAGGAGCTGCGCTGGATGACGGCCGCTGTCAGAGGTACTTCCGCCTGTCACGCGCCCAGTTTGATGACCTGTTGTCCCGCATCTGAGCGAGGATCACCCTCGCCCTCATCCATCTAATCTAGCTGTCATTTATTTTTGTTTTGATGATAAATAGAGCCAGCCTTCAAAAGTTATTAACCTGTCCTGTGATTTTTTTCTCTCTCTCACGTCCAGACACAAATTTATGCACATATGTTGATTGTCTTTACAACATAATACTATTTCTAGATATGGAATAAATAACATTCAATACAAAATGAACATGTCTCGTATAAAGAAATAATGTTTTAAGTGATTAAAACATTTGCTTTGTTGTGCATAATCCCACCATGCATTTAGTCATATTAACAAAATAATTTATTGAAGCATCCAGACACTTCACCACGTGAGCAAGCAGCTAGGCTCCTGATTGGTTAACGCGGCGCGAATTCACGCCAAAGTTCAGATTTTTCAACTCAGCCGGCAGACGCGAATTCGCGTCAAACGCGTGAATGCACAACGCTCAATTGACGCACGAATGAAGCGTATTCGCGTCTTCCGCGCCGCGCTCCACGCCTCATTCGCGCCGCAGGAATTTTTCACGCGTGTAAAGCGTCTTTGCATTGACTTAACATTGAAATCATTCGCGCCTGACGCCCTATTCGCGTCCGGTGTGAACGTAGCATAACGCAAGTCTTGTACTGTTTATCTAAAAATACGAAATATAATAATGAAAACACTGGACATGTCAATAAAACATAAACATAACATCTTCCCAAACACATATCAAGCTTATTTAAAAACCTCGAAAGCATAAACACTCATTCAAAGTACCTGGAAAAGGGAGATGTAAACAACCATAAGTTCCCGCCTCCTCAGCACGAGCTGACCGATACATCTAACACATCAAGAGAGGCGGGACTTAAGGCAGAACAGCCAATCATCAGCCGGACACACTCAAAGCCGGTGTCATGTTTGAGAGGAGACAGCCGCAGCGAGCGCACACACACACACTGAGCGCCAGAGAAACGGAGGAGCGACTGTAGGAAGGCGTTTGTGAAAAACGGCAGAAAAAGTGCGGGTGTTTAACACTCTCACCGAGAAAAGTGTGGGTGTTAAAACACCCACATCCCCCACGGTTGCGACGCCCCTGCACTCAGGGGCCTAATGTGTGCCAAGAAAACATCCCCCACACCATTACACCACCACCAGCAGCCTGCACAGTGGTAACAAGACATGATCGATCCATGTTCTCATTCTGTTCACGCCAAATTCTGACTCTACCATCTGAATGTCTCAACAGAAATGGAGACTCATCAGAACAGGCAACATTTTTCCAGTCTTCAACTGTCCAATAATAGTGAGCTCTTGCAAATTGTAGCCTCTTTTTCCTATTTGTAGAGGAGATGAGTGATACCCAGTGGGTCTTCTGCTGTTGTAGCCCATCTGCCTCAAGGTTGTGCGTGTTGTGGCTTCACAAATGCTTTGCTGCATATCTCGGTTGTAACGAGTTGTTATTTCAGTCAAAATTGCTCTTCTATCAGTTTGAATCAGTCGGCCCATTCTCCTCTGACCTCTAGCATCAACAAGGTATTTTCTCCCACAGGACTGCTGCGTATACTGGATGTTTTTCCCTTTTCACACCATTCTTTGTACACCCTAGAAATGGTTGTGTGTGAAAATCCCAGTAACTGAGCCGATTGTGAAATAGTCAGACCGGCCCGTCTGGCACCAACAACCATGCCACGCTCAAAATTGCTAAAATCACCTTTCTTTCCCATTCTGACATTCAGTTTGGAGTTCAGGAGAGTGTCTTGACCAGGACCACGCCCCTAAATGCATTGAAGCAACTGCCATGTGATTGGTTGATTAGATAATTGCATTAATGAGAAATTGAACAGGTGTTCCTAATAATCCTTTATACTGTATATACGGTACAACTTACAGGGATGTAGCTAGCATTAATATAATCAGAATCCTCTTCATCATTTACAGTGAGATGCACTCTGGAGGAGTCATCTAAAGAGAGAGAGAAGGATACAATTACTTGAAAATTGATGTGATAAATTGTGTGTGTGTGTGTGTGGGGGGGGGGGGGGTAGTAGAGATAGTAAAGATAGTAATACCATACCAATCATTTTTTAACTTGTGGGATTTTTTTTTTTTTGGAAAACATATAAATCATACAAAAATGCAAATGTTTTCTGTGTTATGTTTATGGAGGGTTAGGGGATAGAATAGTCACTGATAGAACGTTACTCATTTGTTCCTGTGGCTATTCATTAATGACGGAACAGTATTCTAAAGTGTTATCTATATACTGTTCATTATAAAATTCATTATGTCTATGGAAAGTCCCCATAAAATGTGTGTCTGTGCTTGTTTAGATGATTTATGAGGACACATATGTTGTATGACATGGGTATTACACTGTTATTACAATGTAAATGTGGTTTATAAGGACATCATAATACATAAGGTTTAAAAAAAACATACTGAACAATATTTTATTTATTGAATATGTAAAAATACAATGGTTTTCTGTGATGGGTAGGTTTAGGGGTTGAGTTAGTATAGGGGATAGAATATACAGTTTGTATAGTATAAAAACCATTACGATCCTCATAATGATAGGTTCACCAGTGTGTGTGTGTGTGTGTGTGTGTGTAAAACACTCACAAGGTAAAACATTTGAAAATCGGTTTTTCTCCTTGTTTTCAAGCACAGTTGCCGCAGCACTTGACTGTTCTATACCCACTGAACTCAAGTCCTGTTAAAAAACACATCCAATAAAAATATTCGCAACAAACACTGTCAATTTTCAAATTTACCTTGATGATTCTTACATGAAAGCAGAAAGACATTATAAGTGTTTAAATACTTCACAACAGGCAATTACAAAACATTTTACTCTTAAATTTCAAATTTGCAAACCCTACCTCATATTCCTCACTGAAACCTCTGTTCTCATCACAACTCATGTTTCGAAAATGTTCAGAAAATGCATCCATGGGGATCGGTCTGAAAAACAAATGTTTGTTTTCATACTACAATAACATAATTTACAGTGGCCCCAAAAGCATTTGGACACTTAATGCACACTTAAAACATCAACAAAAAAAGTCTGATTGAACACATACTTGTAGTAGTTTTTTTTAGTCCCTTTTGACTCCACTAGTGGTTTGGGACTACTATGATGAGAAAATACATTAGAGATACAACTAATACAGGTTCTGTTGCATTTTAATATAAAATAAATACATAATCCTTGACAACTATAAATCAAAATCATACTTATTACGCTTTCCAGAACGATAGCGGAGCCATACAAAGACTGCAGCACAAATAATGATGACCAACAGGAAAAACACAAGGACACCTGCTATAACTCCTGCAGAACACGGACAGAAACAAACAGTGTATATGTCAATGCATTGTTCAACTATGTTACAGCTTAATATCTCAAAGATTTAAAGGAATATTGCCGGTTAAAAACAAGGTGAAGCTCTATTCAACTGATGCCTGACTTGTTTAAATGATTGATATGTTAATATGGAAATCCATCATTGGAATGACCAAATGCAGAGGGTCAAGGAACAATTTGCAGTATATTACCTTCAGCCCTCTAATCTGATTCTATATTGGACATACTTTACTGTCAGTACTTGTAGGAAAGTTTGATCTTGCTTCTAACCCAAATATACAATTTTGAGGCTGTTTGACTCATGATTATGGAAGCCAATTTCCACCACAAGAAAAAAAAAATCATGCTCTGGTAAATCATAATTATAAGATTAAAAATTGCAAGTCAAAATATGACATACAATGTTGAGCCCCCTTGAAACGTATATAAACTACAATAAAGTTCCCTTAGTTAGATATTGAAGACTACAGCGACGCACAGCGAAGTCCTCAATAAAGAAAGATATCCCAACAACGTCTCCTGGTCTCTGCTTCGTCGAAGGAAAAGTTTCCGAACACATCTCATAATTATTATTGTTTACGTCATTTCGTTTTTTATCTCATAATCTTAATGTTGACATTTTAAAACATAATTGACTTTAATCTTGCTTTAGAATAATTTTAATTGTCAGTTTACATTTTTTTTTTAAATAATTACAATTTTAAGTCATCATAATTGATTTTTTATCTCATTATTTTATTTTGATATGTCAATTTTGACTTAAATCATATTTTTTTCTTTTTAAATAATAATTTTCACTTTTATCTCATAAATCTGACTTCTGTGTCAATCTCAACATTTTATGTCATAATAAGGCATTTAAGTCACAATTTCAACTTTTAAACCCCTACTTTTCCACATTGTGTCATAATTTTGATTCCGAATGTCAGCTTTGGATTTAGTATGTCAATTTCGACTTGCCATCATTTTGACATTAAAAAACCTTTTTTTTGACCAGGTAAAATACCGTAAAATTTTCCCAAATTGTCGAACTGCACCGGCTTGTTTTTGAGACAGGCATCTATATGTGACCGGCCTTTATAATTTAGTGTTGATATGTTGTTCATTGAGTCTAGGCCTAGAGTCTCTAATCTCTAAAAATCTCCAAATGCTCCACATGTTGGGTTGCCAACCGTTCCGTATAATACGGAATCGTTCTGTATTTGTCACATAAAAGTCTTGTTCCGTATTGAACTGATACGGAACGCACTTTGTTCCGTATTTTTGAGAATCAGTTCAGTGCAAATCCATGACAGACACATCTTCTAATATATCTCAGACAGACTATGAATGAAGACCTCACCAGTTGAGCCACTCCACTCGTGATCGACTAGTGTTTAGTGATCGATGTTTTTTTTTTACATTTTAAGGTTAAATGCATTAGATCAGGTCAAAATTAAGAGCTTCAACCCATGAACTGCTCGTTAAACAAAGATAAAGCATTGATTTGTACTAGGACAATAAAGAGGGCTCAAACATATTTTTAGTTGTGAGAGTCTCAGTCTACATTACATTATCAATGGTGTTTTAGGATGCCAAACAATTATTATAATAATGTAATAATGATTTATATAATTATTCCTATGACGTAAAATCCATATAGCCTAATCAGAAAGTTGGCAACCCTATCCACATGAAACTGCAGTCTTCCAACCTTTTACTATCGTGTCAATTGATTTGATTAATATGCGCGATGCAGAGAGAGCAAGACAGCGCTCATGTTGTTTGAAGACGGGAGAGTGCGCGCATGCGGTCTCGGCTCTCTCTCTCTCTCTTTCTGTTCGTTATGCGCCCTGTCATGCGCAGCAGTTTCAGTCACTCACCGATCAAAATAGGCTTTGGCGGGACAAAAATTTGCTTTGACAGCCCCCAAAAAGCGGACGATCTGATGGTTTTAGAAGATTAACATCCCGAAACTAAAAAACAGACCTGGCCTCTTTTTGAGACCGGCTTTTCTATTTATCCAAACCTGCAGCCACACCAGGCGTGTAAAAGAGAGCGATCTATTTGGGACTCGGCTATTATTTTAGGGTAAGTGTTTTCTTACAATACTTTACAATTAATCTTTAATTAAAGTATATTACAAACTTTTCATTTAGACCCAAGAGATTCATATTAACTTGTTTAAAATGTTTATTATATGACTCATTTAATCTAGCTGAATTTCAATATTGGGCTACTTCCTATTCCTCTTTTAGTTTTGGCTGATTCCCTGAGAAGATATACCTGCTCAACTGATCCCAATGCTGCTGATATCCACATATCATAAGCTCTGATTGATATATTGATGCTGTTGTTGTTGTTACTTAACCCAAACTCTTCAGCTGTCAAATAACTGACATTGTACATTCAAAAGTTGTACACTGTTAATGATACTTAATGCATTAATTAGTATTCACAGTTTAAAATTCTGCGCTATATTACTATGGGTAGTGTAGGGTATGGGTAGGTTAAAAATATAAGTACTGTGTAAACACATGTACAGTATGTACACAATAAGAGCATTACATCAAAAGATTCATTTAAATGTTAGTACATAGTAATTTAAGACACCTATAAAGTGGGACCTCTAAGTCTTCTGAAGTCACATGATAGCAACTGTGTGAAAAATATGCCAAAATGTAAGTCATTATTCAGTGAAAATTCCATGAAAGCTCATGACAGTCAGAATGATATTGTACAGGATTGGAACATGAGGTGAGTAATAATGACAGAACAATCATTTTAGATGAACTATTCCTTTAAAGAGGTCATATAATGGCATTTTTGTACAGGTTAATATGAATGTTTAGGGCCTAAATGAAAACTTTGTAATATACTTTTATTAAAAATTCTCATTGGTATTTTAAGAAAACACAATTTTACCTGGTCAAAATCAGCTCTTGTTTTCAGCACTTCGTTTCAGTGCATATGCCTTTAAATAATAAGCCCCGCCCCTCTGTTCTGCCGGCGTGAACGCACTGGAGTGTTGTCTTGACAACAGTTGAAGGTTTTGGAGAGAGAATGGCAGCGGGAGTCTCTGAGGACACATCTGTGCAACTGTATCAGTTTGAACTGGAGTAACTGTTCACCGGAACAAGATGACGGGCGCAAAGAAGTCCGACAGTTAAGGCAGTTCGACATGTAATGTTAATTTGATCTATCTTTGTATGCACTGGCGGAGTAGAGTAACGTAGACTCACTGTATTCCGGACAGCACGGTATTCCGGACACTTGACCTTTTTTCGCAAATTTTATAAATAAACACTTTCAGGTCACGGCAGGCACATATACATATCCGTGTCATCTTTGCCTCCTCCTCTTTCGATTCCGACCAACCTTATGCTTCCAGAGCCAGTCGTTTCATAGAAATCAACGCAAGTTTCTAACGTACACCATTGACTGTTCAGAAAATGACGAGGGGAAGGTTTTCTGGCAGGACAAATGGACGAGGGGATAATATACCTCAATAGAAAACGGCTCTTAAAACACGATCACCCACCAGAAAATTACAGGAAAAAAAACATTCTTATGGTCTTATAAAATAATTATGAGTTACAATTTGCAAATATTTGTACTTTAAGGGGTAAAAAAAAAAATAATATTTAAAATTCTTAAATATAACTTTAGAATATAATGCTCAAATGAGCAATTGTCGATTAAAAGAGTGTATAGACGCTTATACAACAGAGTTATGAAGATTAATGTGATTACTTTACCAACTTATAGTTGTTAAAATGTATGCGTTTTATATTAGAAATGACTGTCCGAAACACAGTGAGTAGAAATTTTCAGCTGTCCGGAACACCTTGAGTCCTCATGGTAATCCGGACACTGCGTCTCCTGGCAGTTTTTTCAAGATTTCTCTAAAATGATTAGTTCAAAATGTGTCAAACAAACTTTGAAACGTGTGGAAGGCGTGTCCCCAGAGACAGGCGAGCAATCGGGTTTATCTTTCAGCGGGTTGATATCTTAAAGGACGTTTTACTGTGCAAAGTGTCCGGAATACAGTGAGTCTACGTTAGTGAGATGCGAACGCTATGTGTTTACTGATGTATACGTTAGTTCATTGACAGATTGACGTTACAACTAATTGTCATGAAAAAATTTTTTCCCGTGATTTGCAAAGAGTAATATAGATTAATAAAACTTTAGGTGCAGAGGGAACATTAATAGTTGGTACCGATTATTTTTTTCAGCAGCAGCTTCTTAGCAAAACCAGCTTTATACTGATCCTCGTTTATAAAGCAGTCTGGTGAGAATTTGAAATTATTTGCGCAAACAAGAAAGTATTGACGTTGATCGAGGGGGAATATTCCCTTCGTAAACAAAACTTCAGCGGTTCAAATTTATTAACATCAGAATGATTTCTGTGTTTATTATTGCACCCAGGAACAGAACAACACATTCGCTTAGACACCATTCTGCTCCAGTGTATCAACAATGACGGACTATAGTCTATGATGACAGCTCGCTCAGGGCGGGTCTGTGTTGAAACACTGCTGTCAATCAACAACCGCGGGAGGGACGTGCGACCGTGTGACGTCACACGGACGAACGGCTCGATTTAAAGCAGGGGAAAACATATAAGGAGATCAAAACAAAACCACTGGATGGATTTTTATCATTAAATGATGGTTGTGTACAGGCACTGACAACACATATTGCAGAACAATCAACTTGTAAAAGTGCATGTACCATTATATGACCCCTTTAAGTTGTATTTAACCTGAGATATTTCTGTAGATTGATTACTGTCTTATAGCATATTAAACTTATTTAGACCTTATTTTACCTGCTGGATTAGTTTGACAGTTGCTTGATGCTGTTTTACTCCTCATGGCTCCAGAGAATGATGTCGCTGTCACTGTGTACCACTGGGCAACTTGCAGGCTCTTTACGTTCAGTTTCTGTTCTTTTGAACTACTGTTGAAACTTTGTTTACCAACGTCCACCTGCACCACATCAAAAACTCCAGTTGGAGGATCCCAAATTACAGCCAGACCATATCCTCCAGAAAAATATTCACAGCGAAGACGACCTACACTATTTGGAACTAGTTTGAAAGAGAAACAGAAGGTTAGTAAAATAAAGAAATTATACTGAATTTCAGCCGGTCAGCGCCACAGTCCAAAACAGAGCATGTAAACTCACCTAACGTCAGAAGATGTGAGCACTGTAGGAGTTCCTCTGTGTCCAAATGATACAACAGTGAGACATTGTAGTTTTCTCCAGGATAAAGCTCTTGTAGTTTCACCCTGTTGTCCGTTATAGGGAGAGAAATAGCATTGCCGGTTCTGTTTTCAGCTTTCACATGTGTGCTACCATTAACTTGAGCTTCTATCGATGAATTTGTGATGTCCCACTTAAAGGACACACAGTTAATGGCTGCAGAAACACAAAAACATATTTCAAACTCAGCTGCAGTCTTAACCTTGGGGTCTTAAAAAGAGGTTTTTTATTTATTTATTTTTTTATTCAATTGAATATGCACAAAAATGCAAACAATACATGTCTTATACTTTATTAACATTAGTCAAAAAAAAATGTTCATTGTTAGTTCATGTGAGCTCAGGGCCACTAAATCATATCACCAGATATAACTTTTAATTTTAATGTTGTATTAATATTAATATTGTAGTAGTTGAAACTAACAAACTAAGATTAATAAATGATTTATTAAACCTTATTGTGGTTACCAATAAGTATAACCACAAGTGTAAACCAAAATATTAAAGTGTTAACATAATATTGGGTAACACTTTACTTGAACATGTTGTGCATGACTGTCATGACACTTTCATAATCATGGCATGACATATGTTATAAATATGAAGGAAGTTTATGCATGTTTGTGACAACTGTCATTAAACGTACAGTATGCGATTTTTGGCCACCAGGGGTCACTCGTTTAAAATAACAAAAGACGTACTTTGATGACGTCGGGAAAGAGCGTGGGCTCACGGGAGTTGTTGTCGCTGTCAATGACAACCAGCTCAGCTCATGACATGACATCATCGTTTCACAAAATATACGGATATACGGCATCTCTCTGTAGATTTAGCTTGTTGAGAAGCTTTAAATGCAACCCCAATGTTTACCTGTGTCATGCTTCTCCTGTCCCAAACCCTTCTCGCGTCATATTTTTCAGGTACGTTTGAGCTTTAGCTAATGAGCTGGCTGTAGCAGCAGAACATGCAGGCAAAGCGTAATCGTGGTCCATAACTATTATACAGACGAATATAAATATTTATATTACGCTCCTTCAATGAATGACCTATTTTAGAACATTTTTCATATATAGAGCGCACCGGATTATAAAGCACATAAGATACTGCAGTCAAACTTGACTGGGTGGGTTTGCGTTATACATCCACTATGTGCTAAAGGCTAAAGGGAATGTAGTGAGTACGCGGCGCCGGAGGTGAGGCGTTTATTTAGTAAGCATGAGAGAGCTGAAGCGGGCACGTACATTCGCAGCCTGACTCATATGAGTATTCAATGTGCGCGGCTCGCTAACAGCAACAGTTGGCTGTTTTGAATGAGACGACACGGTTACTGTGAACGGGGAGCGCTTTATGCGCGAGCAGCACCGGGGACAGTGTGTCTGTTAAGAGTGAGCGCTCGTGAGCGGGCACGTGATTTACACACATAAAAATACGTACTACTTTTTTTATTTCGTCATTTTCTTTGCTTTATTGGCGGTAGTCCAGTGTTTCTCTTTGTGTTTGGCGGTTTCGCCGGGTCCCGCAAGGAAGTTAGAGAAAATAGAGTAGTCAAAGGTTATATGACGCCATAGACGGGCGACGAAATGGAAATAAAGAAACGTCCCGTGTCTTCGAATTAAACTATAAATTTCTCCGTATTTGAAATTTGGTGGAAACTCTCGGGATAATGTAAGTACATATCTAACAGAAATATATAACATAGATACAGTTATTTTTGCTATTTTTAATGCAGAAAAATTACATATTGTGGCTTTAAGTGTCATTCACTCAGTTATGACATTTTTGATGCAAATATGACATTGTTTGAGATGTCTTTGTTATGACATCTTGACATAAACCAATAAATCATAACCTGTCAGTGTCTTTGTCATGACAACTTGACATTACAAAGACAACACAACCTGTCATAAACATGACATAGCAGATTAATTATCAAACTTAAGAAACCACCTAGCTTTATTGGTTAACATTACATTAAACTGTCATGTGGTTGGTTTTGACATTGGCTGTCATGAAGCCATTATAACTTTAATGACAAATTCAATGTGTACCACTGTAGTTGAGGTCACGAAAAATATTCATGACAGTTATATGGCCTCAACCAATGTCAAAGCCAACCACATGACAGTTTAACTTAAATTTTATGTCAAGTTGTCATGACAAAGACACTGACAGATTGTGATGTTATGGTTTATGTCAAGATGTCATAACAAGACATTGTCATATTTGCATTCAAAATGTCATTATTGAGCAAAAGACACTTAATGACAGTTGTCATAAACATGCATAAACCCTACTTCATATTCAAGACATATGTCATGTCATGGTTATGAAGGTGTCATGTCAGTCTTATGCACACCCCTTCAAGTAAAGTGTTACCAAATATTGTATATCCAGTTCAAGCATTTATAACCACACAAGTCATTTCTTTCCATGACTTGCAAGCTTTGCTCAATTAGAACTCATTATTTGCTTTTCAAATAAGTAGCTGAATCAGAGTAATGCTATCAAAACTTACTGGTGATGCTCCTGAAGGTGGACCCATTTCTTTGACCATTCACCTCAGTGTAGAGAGTATAACTGTATACTGTCCCTGGCGTGAGGGATGAGTAAGTATGTTTAAACTCATTTTCCTCAGAAGATCCACTGAAAGATTCCTCCTTTCCATTACTTTCACTCAAGATGTAGTTGTAGATGTTGTTTTTGTTCAACTTATTCCATGTGATAATCAACTGTGTCTCTGATCGAGTGAAATCGACTCCTGTTACGCGAGATAGACCTGTGAAGAGATACATTTTCCACAAGAGTTGATAGTAATGACTATACAACATCAGGTACATTCCTCTCAAATTCATCACTGATATTTTGGTACGTGGCAGGGTTGTGCACCATTCAGTATTGAGTTGAGAATCTAAATCTGAACTGAGGCAAACCGGATGAAGAATTGCAATAAAAAACAGAATTTTATTTCATAATTCAAACAGAATGAAATTGAAAGAAATTACAAAATTGGTTTCAGATCAATATGTATGTAATTATTTACAAGTTTTGTCATGGACAAATGAAATCCCTCTGTTGTGTTGAATGACTTTAAACTGCATTAATTCTATTTGAAATCATGTGTGTTGTAGCAAATTCAAAAGCCAAATCATGAATTGAACGCAAGTGGATTCTTGCATTTTGACTTTTGTCCAACCCTGCTAATGTGGTCCATTATTAGTATAATGCAAAGAATAGGAGACTTACTCGTGGTGTGACTGAATTTGTATCCAGTACTTCTCACATCAAAAAACTCTGTGTACAGAGTGAAGTTGTAGTTTGTTGCAGGATTCAAACCATTTATATGACGTGTAACCTCAATCCCTTCTGCAATGTTATAAATGTATTCACGTGATGTGTTGCTTCTTTCAAGAGAATAGTTGTATGCTATGTTGCTTGTGATCCATTGAAAGGTCACGTCGGTATCATTGAAATCGACCACTTTTGGTGGATTTGCGATATTAGATGGCACTGAAACAAAAGAAGGCATAGTGAGATGTGTCAGGTGTAGATAAAACACACTAATTCAAGTAAAATTAAGAATCTTTTAATAAACAGGGAGAATATGCAGGAAAATCAAAACAGCAACTACACAATAACACCAACCAGGCAGAACAAACAACTCGGGTTTAAAGGAGCACTTCACCCATTTTAACATATATCTTTATTTAAAGTAGATCATATATGTAGTCGAGATGTAAAAGAATTTTAGAATTTGGAGCCCTCTTGACCAAGAAAATACTGAAGGGCGCATTTGTATGTAAGACAACAACTCCCACAATGCAACACATTGCACAGCTCCGTAAGCCACACCCACTAATCCTGAACAGCGCAAACAGAGAAATCACTCTTCCATCCACAAGCTAACGTTAACTGTCACCAGAGTTTAAAAATTCATTTCACACAAAATTTCTAGTTAGTTGGCTGTGGCGAGCAGGACAAGGGCAAGGGATGGTGCGAGGCCGGTGGCGTGAGTGATAATGAAAGACACCTGTGAGACGCACCGGTCCCGCATCTCTCACGGAGGAACGGAGGCTTAAATGAGGAGCGACGATGGCAGATCGAGAGAGAAACGGGCCTGATTTTATGTTGTGTTTTGTTTCTGTTGTGTGTGGACAGCAATTGTCAATGAGGGGCTGCTGGCTTATACTTTTGTTTTGTATTTGTTCATTTTACTATTAAAATGTTTAAATGTTCGCCGGTTCCCGCCTCCTTCTTCCCACAACAACGAACCCCGTTAACTTTACGTTACATTGGCAAACTCGTTAGTGAATTACTCCTCGTTTGTATTTCTTTCTATATGGTGAATTACTGCATGATACCTGGATGTTCAGTCAGTCGAAACTATGATGGTTCACATCACAACACAAACGTCCGTGTGCTCGTCTGATTCAGAGATTTCATCCAGGAGAAATTCTCATCGTTGAAATTCTCTGCACCAGGCAGACTCTATCTGTGTCCATAGCGCACAGCGAAAGCACAGGCACCAGCAGTCACTTCTGTCATTGTCTTTACTTCCTATCTCCACAGCGCTTGATAGCTTAGCTTCCAAACAAGATGGCTGATATTGATTCAGTATCTGCAAGTGAAGTCCCACCCACTGATCTGTTATAGGCCTGTAGGGTGAGTGGGTCCCACACCCTTGAATAATAATGAGCTAATGTTTGTAGTCTCTACATTTTTCAATCAAATGTGACTTCCTGCTTATTATGACGCAAAAGCAGGAAGCAGGAAGTAAAACACTTAAATCCTTATTTCTCCGATCTCAGGGCAAAATAAGGGAATAAACCATGACCATTCAGAAATATGACTGGGTTTCTAAAGATACAAAGCTTAATGCAAATGGTTGAAGTGTGCCTTTAACTCCACATTAACACCAACCAGGCAGAACAAACAACTCGGGTTTAACGACACAAGGAGAGTTAATAAACCAGAAAAGAAACAGGTCCGGGATTAATCAGAAACTTACAACGCGTTCTCATCCCAAAGCGCCATATAGGATGCTTTTGCAAAAGCGTAAATATCCAACGCACATGGCACCCTTTAACGTCTAATGAGACGCTTCGGTTAATGGTTAAGTTTAGGTATGGTGTAGGGTAAGGGTTAGACCACTAGGGGGCGCCTTCTGCCCAAATATATCTGCGTCTCATTTCACGTTAAAGGGTGCCATGTGCGTTGGATATTTGCGCTTTTGCAAAAGCGTCCTATATGGCGCTTTGGGATGAGAACGGGCTCAAACTTATGACCAACACAGGTGAAACAGGAGCGGGGGAAACAAAACCTAAAAAGGCAAAAGATTAATCCTGACACGATATGTTATACAACAAGCCCATCGTTTACAGAGTTAGTAAATTAATAATCTGTGGGATTAAGCACATGAACTCTTAACTCTAAGACAACAACCAGCATATTTGTTTATTTATTGCTGACAATTGGCTTTATGCACAGCTGCACTACTTCCTGAACTTAAGCCAGCTCCTTGTTTCCTGTCTGTCATTATTGGACAAATTGATTATTCCAGGTGTGCCTGACCTCAGTAGACACGGCAACAATAATCAGACACACCTGAATTAATCAAGTTCGGCCAATAATGGCAGACAGGAAACAAGGAGCTGGCTTAAGTTCAGGAAGTAGTGCAGCTGTGCATAAGGTCAATTGGGGCCAGATTGAGGCCAGTTGCCATTTCGGCACACATGCTTACAATGCACTGAACATTTTACATTCATTGATCTTGGACATGAACGGAGGACAGAACATTTTTACGTCTTGCAAACTTAAACACACGGTGTTGCAAATTAAGCTGATTTGTCACCAAGATAAGTAATCTAGCTTGTTAACACTGACAAAGGTTTAGTCGAAATTGCAAAAAGTATTTCGTCTTGGAAGCATCGGGAAAACTGTAAACCAATTAAGAATTGTTTCTATGATTTTTAATGAATTTATAGTTGCATTATAGTTTTATCATTTTCATCTTGTTTCAAATTAACAATTGTTTTTTTTTTATTCAAAGAAAATATTTTTTTGTTAAGAAAAGTCAAGTGATAGAAAATATTTCGGTAACACTTTAGTAGGGTCCAATTCTCACTATTTTAACTAGTTGCTAGGATATTGGCTGTTTATTAGTACTTATTAAGCACATTTTAATAATGCCTTATAATGCATTTCCATACATCCCTTAATCTTACCCAATACCTAAATTTAAGTTATTAGGAGTTTATTGAGGCAAAAGTCGTAGTTAATATCGAAATTTGACCCTGATCTAAAGTGTGACCAATATTTATAGCAAATATCAAACTGCATTGCTAAAACGTATAAATTGATAATTGGTTTGTGGTGGGGCCAGTAAAAAATATTGGCAGGGCAAGTAAAATTTCAACCTTCAACCTACATGTCAGTATTGGTCGACTGAAATTATGTATTGAGACTCACCGGTTACATTGGAGAAGTTGTATCCACTGCTCTTCACATCTTCAAACACAGTATAGAGTGTGAAGAAGTATTCAGTCCCTGGAGACAGAGACGTGACATTATGTTGTACGAAAGAATCATTTGGTGATATAAGTGTCCAGTTTTTCAGCTCATAAATGTAATCGGAGCGGTTGTTGACTTTTTTCCATTGTAATGTTATATAAGTCTCTTCCCGATTGACGACCGAAACACTCCCAACATTAGATGGAACTGAAAAAGAAAGAGACAGAAATTGTATATTTTCTTAACACCTGCTGCAATCCACCTGTCCATCAATTAATCTACCATTCTGTTCCTTCAATGACCGGAAGTTACTGTACAGCGGTCGCAGACAGTAGTTGGAAATCACATCTACAAATATTTGAATGTATTTGCATTACATTAAAAAATCAAACAGCATTTATTTTAAAGACTAAACAAGCAAATCTTTCATATTAGATATTACAGGTATTAGTAGGATATTAGTAGGTATATACAATAGAACCCCTTTGTGTTTGTGCAATGTTAGTGGATCATGTTGATAGTTAATGTGATGAACTGTGTAACGTTAGTGCTGAGAAAAAATGTAGCAGCATTTGGGCGAATTCCAATTTTGCGTCTTTGGGCACTTCTGGACCAAATGACAGTGAACACTTGGATCCCTTCAGGAAAGGCCCTTTCTACAAATCGGTTAGTGAAGGGTACGTGCAACGGCACATCAAGGAAGTAGTCGTATGTTTATGGTCATACCCAGGGTGGTGAATCCTTGAGATTCATTTTAAAACTAGATGGCAGGAGAGTTCGAGTTAACATGTAAACAGAATCATTTAAGTTATTTACAACAAGTATTTTGTTATAAATGTGTTTTAAGTTGCAATGGGTTTAATAGTAGATACGTAAGGTAAATGTGACTTCATGCAGGGTCTAAAAAAAAGACGGCAAGTTTTAAAGTACAAAAAAAACCCCCGTAAAATATGTATTTGTTTGCAAGCAATTAGCCTAAAAAATCACAACAGCTAATGGGCTGATCATGGACGCCATGCTGCATTATCATGGTAACATTCCAAGTGAGAATAATGAGGAAATTATGTTGTGACGCAAGTGTTTTTTGCTAGTTTTAACACGATGCATTTATCATGGTCACATCCTGCGCCACATTGTTAAAATAGCAAATGCATTTGCGCCCATTCGTGCACCCATGTGTGTGCTGGTCTGAAGGTGTGTGTTCAGGCACATTGTTGGTGCGTTGCTATTTTGAGGCAACTGAAATAGACTGAGCCATTGACCAACAAAAACCTGTTCTAAAGACAATGGATCTCGCAATATTTTTATTTTTATTTTGTGTTATTTAAAGGGCACATTAGTAATATGTGCCTATAGGCAGGTCCACAACACACATACACTCTGCTTATTACACACGCAGGGACGCACAGCAGCACACTAACATGCCAAATATTAAAAATAAAGGACTACAATTTAAAAGATTATTATTGTCTAAATAAAGATATGGTGGAATCGGGCTTGTCCCGTATATGGTCACTTAAACCTTGTGGACGAGCAGATCCGTTTCCTCTCTGGAGAAGTGTTCAGTTTTCCTGCTTGCAAATTCTGCCAGATGAATAGTGAGTCCGCCATGGCGCAAGCACGACTGGCTTTTAAAGGGAATGACAGATGAGACTCTGAGACTAAAAAAAGGCTCAGTTTCCCCCAGGGAAAACAGTATACGAAATCACTGAACAGTTAGATAAATGATCAAAAGAGCGTCCAAACTTTTTTTTTTTTTTAAATGCATACATCTGTTATACATGCGTCACATTTATTAAATTTTACATCTAATATTCAACATGTAAATCTCCCTCCAATGTCCTGCAATGCGAGCTCACTATAGGCCTAATGTGAGTCCTGTTCATTTGTACTCGAAAACAGGCACTGAAACATCCATTGTAAGTCGTTTTTTATGATTTGATATCTCAAAGATAATGTCATCTAACTTGCTAACGTAAACATATTTTGTCATATTATTGACAGTAAAAATTCGGCAAGGTTACACATTGTATAAAGAATTGCATCCTAATTCAGAATCTGAGAGAAATGTCAGAAGCAGTTGTTTTGTTTGTCACACAGACTTTGGTCTTTGCGGCAGACCAGATGAGACTCACCGGTTACATTGGAGAAGTTGTATCCACTGCTCCTCACACGATCAAACACAGTATAGAGTGTGAAAAAGTATTCAGTCCCTGGAGACAGAGATGTGACATTATGTTCCTCTAAAGAATCAGTTGGTGATTGTGTTGGAGGCTCGTCTTTAATCCAGTATTTTAACTCATAAGTGTAATCGGAGCGGTTGTTGACTTTTTCCCATTGTAATATTATATAAGTCTCTTTCCGATCGAAGACCGAAACACTCCCAACATTAGATGGAACTGAAAAAGAAAGAGACAGAAATTGGCCTGTAGCAGTTAGAAATCACATCTACAAATGTGTCATATGGAGAGACTATGGTCTATTTTATTTTGTTTGTGTATTTGGCATGTTTGTTTTTCTTTTGATTTGGTTTTCTTTTGTGATCTTTGTTTTACTATGCATGTTTTATTTTTGTGACACTTGATCATTATTTAGAGTGTGGGGTAACGCCCCTGTAGTTTTGGAAGCCTAGATCACAGCTGATTAGATGGACAGCTGTTGGTAATTGCCATGTCGAATTGCAGACACTTTAAAAAGGCGAAGAAACTGACAAACAGCGAGCCTGTGACCGTGAACTCTGTTCTCCACATTCTTTTATTGCCAGACGTAGTCGCGATTGCTTTTATTGTTTTATTCTCCTGACTGTAGTATGAACCATTGTTTGCCTGCGTTGAAGTGACGGTGCGTTGAAGTGACAGTCCTGCTGTGGATTCGGTGGCTGCTGGATTTCGTCTGTCTCTACTGTGCTGGATTTCCTCTGTTCTCTGCTGTGCTGGATTCGTCTGTTCTCTGCTTTGCTGGATTCGTCTGTTCCTTGCTGGACTGGATTTCCTCTGTCTTCGCTTGCTGGATTCAGGGTTTCCCTGCCGTGCTGGATTTCGTCTGTCTCTGCTGTGCGGGAGTTCGTCGGTCTCTGCTGTGCTGGATTTCCTCCGTTCTCGGCCGTGCTGGATTTCTGCCGTTCTGGACTGCTGTCTCTCTCTGCTGGGGTCGCTGTTGGTCGCGCTGAATTGAGCATTGTCCAACAAGACTGGGAGCTAGACACGTCTACTCCCAGTTTATTGGTGAGTGACGTCCTGTTAAATTTTATGTCTTGCCTCGTCCGGAAGATCCACGCCGCAACTAAACTAGAGTGTTCCAGTATTTCTGTAGTCTTACCACTATTGTTTATGCGTATTCACGAATTGCAGTGAAGTAATTGAGTGTGCACGATTAATAGTTATTCTATCATGGTGTTGTGTTTATGCTGTGTTTTTCTACTGTGGAGATACTGGCGGCTCTTTTTTTTCTGTTGTGTGAGTGATATGTGCGTGAGTGACAGGTGGGCTGCTGTGTAGACGCTGCTGTATGGTGCCAGACGGACTTGGTTAGAGGGAACGTTTTGCGGACTGTGGGTGCTTATGACTGTATCTTCCCGCCGTCCAGCTTTTTAAAATCAATTAGAGTGCACGGTGTGCCCTTTCCTTTTATTATTGAAATAAGGTTGTAATAAAAACATTTCTATTCAAACTGTTGTCCGGGTAATCCTGTTGTGTTGCTCCCACCAAACTAAAAGAACTTGAAAGCCAGGGTGTTTAAATTAATAGAGTCCCAGCTCTTCAATTGGGTGGCGTAGTCGGGCTACATTGTTGGCTCACAAATGGCTTAATGTTTTTGCAATATTAGAAAAATAAAAGAAATCAAAATTTATTTTAAAGAAAGACTAAACAAGCACATCTTTCATATCACATTTAATTTGTTCTGAATTACTCTGAGAAGTGTGAAGTTAGTCTGTGATAGCATTTATTAGCAACATGTGTGTACAACATGCTACTGGTTCCCAAATCTGAACCACTGTACATTGCAAATGCAAAATTGTCAATAATTGAAGATCTCCCATATAAGCAGTGCTTATATTCCTTTATTTGTTATTTGCATGCATAACTTCATTTAAAATAACAAACTTGCATTCTCTGATAGTGTTTTTAATTAAGTAACTCCAAGAGTTAATTGCAAGTTTCAGTTAGTTTTAATTGCAGTTTGCAAATAGATAACACGTAGCTAAAATTGTGAAGAACACTAACTTTTGAGAAGGATCATTTATTAACAATTAAATCAAATAAAATTTTAGCTTAAAAGCTAGAATGATAGTATTTATATTAAGTTTACAGTCTATTTGTAGTCTATTTTAATTTTAAGGTAGGATTTTTACATAAGTAAACAATTCCTAAGTTGATATATATATATATATATATATATATATATATATATATATATATATATACTGTATATATATACAAAAAACTTTAATGACTCACCAGTTACAGCCGAGAAATTATATCCATCGCTCTGACTCCCGTTAAACACAGTGTAAAGTGTAAAGGAGTAATTAGTTCCAGGAGACAGAGATGAGACTGTATAAGTTACTACTTGACCCGTTGCATTGATCAGAACGATAGGGGCACTGTCTCCCATCAGTTTATAACTGTAATTTGTGTTGCCATCGACTATATCCCATTGGAATGTTAATTCAGTCTCTGTTTGAGAAGTTTTAACATTGGCAACATTAGCGGGTTTCATTTGTCCCTAAGGGGAAGAAATGACATGCATTAATAATCAGATATAAAGAAACAAAATTCCAAAACAATTGTTAACAAGTTCTAAATATTCCAGCCTACTAACATTGTTATATAAAAATGAGAGTGGTAAATTCAGTGGTTTTCAATCCTGGTCCTATGGAGCCACTGCTCTGCACATTTTTCATTTTTCCTCATCAGTCACACCAAATTCAACTCTTGAAGTCTCTACTTTTTAACTGACGAGATGAATCAGGAGACATACAATATGTGAGGTTCCCCACGCAGGAAAGCTTGTGAAGCACTGATGTAAAATATGGGCACACATAAACTGAGAATGAGACGGTCTAGTGTGCATTGCTGCATCAGAAATGTTTCTGTCACACTTTATTTTAGGTGGCTTTAACTTCTATTTTCTAATAATTGCATTGTTTCAAGTGGTTGACCAAATTTTTTATCAAGCGCTATGATCAAGAACCGTCGAAGGCAGTCTCAATTTGAAGGACCAATGGAAGGCAGCCTTCGTTTTTGCGTCTTTCATTCAGCAATATTTGAAGGATACACCATGTGTATCATTCCAACACAGTCTCATGAAAGTGCGTATCTATACCACAAATGTAATTTCTCGTGGTAAACCAAAAATGGTTTTTGCGTGCATATGCTACTCACTGAAAACCCAGCCCGTTCTCATTCTTTAGCGTCACATAGAACGCTATATGACAAAACCGCGCAATACTACGCACATGGCACCCTTTATCGTTAATATAACACGCGAACCCAAGGCGTCATAAATCCTTTAGTGTAATATGAGACTACACTACCCTACACCTAAACCTACCCATCGCAGCGCGTGTTATATTAACGATAACGGGTGCCATGTGCGTAGTATAGCGCCGTTTTGTCATATAGCGTTCTATATGACGCTAAAGGATGAGAATGCGTTGGAAAACCCCTTGGTTAGGTTTAGGGGGAGGGGGTGGGGAGTTCGTGCGTATTATACGCCATAAAGTGCGTATCAAATGCACGCAATAAACGCATACCATATACACGCAAAAACTGTTTTTGGCGTATAAATGGCATGAGAAATGACATTCGTGCTATAAATACGAACTTTCATGAGATCGGGCTCATCATTCACTAGCCTGGCTGCGCCCTCCTACGCACTTCTGCTCAATTTCATTTTACTTCAGTAACTACGTCTGGGATTGCTCCATATCCTTAGGTTTCCAGAAATCAATTTTTTGTAGGACCAATCATCGAATAGAGGGAGTGGCTGAGAAAGATGACGTTGATGTAAGCGCGTCAGTTTCAGTTCAGTAATGGCAGCGGAGAAAGACGTGAGAAAAGCTATTCGGTCCGTTGTTGGAAAAGAAACTGCCGAATATACAGAATTTAAAGCCGGATTGTTATCGTCTCACCTCTTGTTGCACAACGGAGGACCAAGTGAAGGAGGCAGAAAGTTTGGAAGTTTGTGCTGGGCAGCATGTGCACGATGACCGTGACATTTTGGACGGGCGGTTTAGCCGTGGTGTTCGGAAGCCCCGAGTCCTGGCTGCTAAACTATTGTTGAAGATCCACTCAGGAGTCATGTCAGTCGCTCATATTCCCAACTGTAAATTTACTGATTCTTGTAATGAATAGAACATTTTGAGCCCCTTTGTGTACTCGTGCAGGAGGTTGGTGTGTCAGTTTTACATGTTGTAAATCATACAAATTGGTTGTGATTTTTTAAAAATAATTGACATAAATAAAAATGTGAAAAACCATACTTTGAAGATATTTGATTTTCAGTTTTAGATGGCAATGGTTGATTTGTTTTAATAAAAAAACGAAATGCCACATAAAAATGTACAAACACACTTTGAAGACCATAATTAAGGTATTTAAGAAACAATAAGACGTAATATGAAAAATTGTTGTTTATTACACATCTGCAGATAGAGACAGACTGATCACTACAGCATTTGCGGCAGATCAGAAACGACCACAGCGGCGTATTTATAATGATCCACCGTTGAATGAATATATCACTGTCCTTCGTGTCAAATATACATTTCGAATTAATAATTGTTACTAGATTAACAAAACCTGTAGCTCTCGTTGACTGAAATCCTATTGTAAACATAATCCTCTGATCATTCGGACTTGTTGTTTCCAGCCATTTCGGCGCGTGACATACGTCATGTGTGGTCCATGTGCGTGCACACCTCTGGTTGCAGTTTTGCTTGTCGCCAGAGGGGGCGTAGTTCTGCAAAAAGTCAGAGACTTGCATTTTGTACCTTTAAGTTTTTAAGTTTAGAGATATTTTTTAACAGTATTATGTAATGAATTTACTAAAAACAAAAAAAAACACAATTCTTTTCACTATTCATATTTTTTTGTTGTTGTCCTGTATTACATAATGTAATTGGAGATCAGTGCCAATTTTCTTTCTGCTGATGTTTATTTATTTATTTTTAATTGGAATGAGGGATTGTGGTAGAGGATGTGAATGATTAGCCTGGTTCAACCAGACTCTAGTTCATTTCATTTTCACATAGAGTCTGGAACCGCTCCATTGAGAAACGTTTCCTTCCTTGTAGGCGGGTTCACTATTAAAGTTCAAATCTATTGGATCTGCCCAAAGTCACTCACGATCTGCCATAGCCAATCGCTAACGGGGTGTCGTGAGTGACTTTGGGCAGATCCAATAGATTTGAACTTTAATAGTGAACCCGCCTACAAGGAAGGAAACGTTTCTCAATGGAGCGGTTCCAGACTCTATGTGAAAATGAAATGAACTAGAGTCTGGTTGAACCAGGCTAATCATTCACATCCTCTACCACAATCCCTCATTCCAATTAAAAATAAATAAATAAACATCAGCAGAAAGAAAATTGGCACTGATCTCCAATTACATTATGTAATACAGGACAACAACAACAAAAAAATATGAATAGTGAAAAGAATTGTGTTTTTTTTGTTTTTAGTAAATTCATTACATAATACTGTTAAAAAATATCTCTAAACTTAAAAACTTAAAGGTACAAAATGCAAGTCTCTGACTTTTTGCAGAACTACGCCCCCTCTGGCGACAAGCAAAACTGCAACCAGAGGTGTGCACGCACATGGACCACACACACGCACGCTTGCACGAGCTGTTCATTATCAAAGGAGCATCAGCTGCACAAATCTTTTGTTACAGTCATAATGTCTTAATAAAGTTAATAAAGTTATAAATCTGCATGTTGAACTGTTTTATGTGTTTACTGTATCCTCTTATAGTTGTATCATAAACACTTTCATGAACAATTTAAGTTGTTACTTTGTACAGGATCCGTTTGAGCCCTAGAGCAGAACGGAGATCTCTCCATTTGTTGACAGCCATCCCGATGTTGACTCTCATTTTATTCCGACGCCTGGCACTAGACAAAAGTTTTTATTTTGTTTGTCTTACGCGGAGTTTGCGTTGGGGTTTAGAATGAACTACAAGCCGGACTCTTTGAATTCATCTTCTACCTTTGTCTAAAGTTGACTAAAGTTGTGTCGCTCGAGTTGTCTTCTCTGATACGGAGAACCTGCCAGACATAGCCAGGTGAGCGTGAATGCGCATGACGTCACACCCAGTCTCAAACTCGAGCCCGAATCCCTCTTATTTATTTTACTGTACAGGATTATAGAGGCAATCGCAGTGATCAGAGAAGGGCTCAGTCAGCCCATCAGGCAATTGTTTAAGCATATATGAAAAATGGCTATTTTTAACATGAAATGTTGCATAATGCACCTTTAAGGTCAGTTGCTATCTAAATTTTTAAGGATATTTAAACTGGATGTTCATTTCAACTCAACATCTAACTAAAATAGTATCTTTGTGCAGGGAGAAGGAAACCTTTGTGACGTAGCCATGCACACTTACTAGACCATGTAATTTGTAACGGTTACCAGCTGGAGTTCACGTTCAGTGTTGGCGAAGTCTTGTTTTAGTGTAACACTTAAACAAGACTTCGCAAACACTGAACGTGAACACAAGGTATATATATAGACACACTAACAGGATGAGACACAGGTGAATGCAATCAGTGAATGAGGTACAGGTGAATGTGATCAGTGATGATGAGTCCGGGCAGTGAGTTCTGGGAAATGTAGTTTGTGTGAAACATAGTCTTATCTGGAGTGCCCTCTGGTGGCTCAAGAGGACACTCCAGCTGGTAACCGTTACATAATTAGTGTTCAGTACTGAGGAGACAAAAAAGGGGAATCAAGGAAGGCAGGCAAAGATGAGGATCCAAGTGCAGGCAGGCAAGTTTATATAGGAGTTAACAATAATGAACATAAAGCTAGAACAAAATAACACTGACAACAACAACTAAGAAACTGATAGAGGACAAGTGAAACAAGGGCTATTTTTATACAGCAAACAAGAGTAACAAGACACACCTCTAAAAAATGCTGGGTTGTTTTAACCCAATTTTTGGGTCAAATATGGACAAACCCAAACGTTGGGTAAAAATGTTATTTAAAAATGTAATCCAGCTGCTGAGTTTGTCCATATTTGCCATAAAATTGGGTTGAAACAACCCAGTAGTTTTTAGAGTGTGGGGAAGAATAATCAGGGAAAAACTATGAACAGTGAACAGCGCCACAGGAAGAAGACACAGGAATGAACACAGAGACAATAGGAACATAAAAACACTTCAAAATAAAAGTCTGTTCAAAACAGGCACAACATTGGAATTGTGACAGACTGCTGCGGCAGAACTTTCATTTTCTGCCACCCAGGATTCGCCAACAAATCAAGCCATTGTTGTTTGCAAATACCCAAATGGTCAATAGCATACAGTAAAGTCATTGTGTCACTGCTGTTGCCATATAAACACATAGCCTAAACATTCGCGCTGAGACTTGCCTGATATAAACCCTTTTTGGTTACACTTTATTTCGATAGTCACTTTAGACGTTCTATTAATTATAAGTAACTTTTCAACTACTGTACATGTCAACTGACTGTCATTAGAGTATTAGTAGACTGTC